CCATCAGGATATTTAAGCATGTTTTACTTCTACATAGGTTAAAAAAGAAATGAATAACCACAAAACACTTCCCTGTACTTTGTATTTTGCTGAGAGTCCTGTGCTATGCTAGGGCCTTTGTTAGGATAGTTAGAGGAAAAAAAAAAAAGAGTAGAAACATGAGCAAGAGTCATTTACACTGAATGTGTTGTTTATTTTTATTGTCTTTTTCTTTTATCATTCATCATATTTCACTCATTTGAATGAGACATATCTTTCACTGACAGTTTTGGGTTTTTTTTTGGTCAACAAAATGCAAAGGAGAGGAACCTATACTTTCGCTCTTTGCATCTCTAATTTGGAAATATAAGATGTTCAGGAAGTCCTGTTAAGCTTGCAACAATCTATTGAAAATTAGCTCATTTGTATGAGTTGAATCGAGCACCAAAATGTCAGGTGTGCTCCTTTTCCCAGCATCATTGCTAATCTATAGTTTTGGTAACTGAAGAGAAGTGATGTATAATGAAAATGTCTACTGTGCTGTGTATCATTTGCTATTCCTTATTACAGTCAGCCATCTATTCATCTTTTCTGGATGTACTCATGAATAAGATGCATAACAAACTGATGCTCCGTTTTTTTCCTCATTAAGAATCTGATATCTTGTTCAGCAACACTGAAGAGGAAACGATTTGCGTTTGGTTCTCAGTGTGCATTTTATAACCCATAGAAAATTAAAAATAAACAGCAATATGCACAATGATTTCATATACTTCCTTTCATATAAATTAGAAGCATTTCCAAAAAGGATGTCAGACAGAGCTTGTATGGTAGAAAATACCATAGAGGCAATGTGAAGGCTTCTTTTATAAGTAATTCATAGAATATCTGATGAATCAACATATATCAGATATATTCTATGCTTAGTTCTTCAGTGTGACAAAATTATTCTGGTTATCTTCAAATCTCTGTCCTTTAAATGTTCATTTTTAGAAGGCTTTCCAGTTCCACAGATTTATAATGTATAGACATAAATATATTTTTGGGGTGTTTTTCTTATTCTGTTTTGAGTAAAAGCTCTTTAAAATAAAGAGTTGTTTATTATTATTATTATTATTATTATTATTATTATTATTATTATTATTATTTTAATTTCTAGCAGCACCTAACTCCAAGGTTGCTCAAAGCTATTCTGTGATGCCACTAACAGATACTAAGTTTCTATAAATGTATGCTTTAGATGACTGAGATTTAGTTGGTAACAAGCTGAAATTTCATTATTATTCAAATAAATGTCCAGCATTTTACTTGGAGTTTGTGACAACAGGACCTGCTATTCTCTTTTTTGATGTGGATGTGCTGTTAGCTGGAAAATTAAAATTCACTTGCCCACCTGGGAATAATTTCATACTTGAAACAAGACCTATTAAAGAAAGTAAGGAAAAATGTTGAAATGAAGTGGAAATGATGTACTCTCTCTCTTTTGGACTTTGTGATTGGCAGCTTTTGGTGAGCTGGGCAGAGCTGTGGCTGGTGTTAGCAGTGCTTCACTCACTTGCTGTGGACCACTTGCAGGGCCAGATTCTCATTCACTCAGTAAAATCTGAACAAAGCTTCTAGTTCATCCCTAATGTCTTCTGCTTCCAGTCTGAATGTGGTAGCAAACAGACCTCATGAAAACTCTCTAGGTAAATACAATATTTACACCTTTGCTGATAGTCCATCATCTGGTTCTAGTTTATATATACACCCTGTAATGCATAGCTGACAAAACTATAAATTATTTTGAATAATCGCAGTGCAAATGCATCAGTCTAGAATTACTTATTGAAACAGTCTCTTCGGGCTTGGAGAGTGTTTCTCAGTTAAAAGAAATATGAAAAGATCTGTTATCTTATTTTACACATGCAAACGTAAGTGATAAGTGTTTTTAAAATAACTCTGTCAATCAGTGTTATTTGTCCAGATGGAATTATGTTTTCCTTTCCACACTATCTGTGCCCATATCACTACTGCAGAATTCAAACCCCAAATTCTGTGTGTAGATGACTAACACAAGGACATGTTTTTTTAATAACTAGTTGAGAAGGATCAAAGAATACACAGTAAGTTACATGGAATTGGTATTGATCAACAAGGTTTTCTTGAGGCACAACAGGACTTTCAGCTGGCAGAAGGCATATATGAGGCATCTGAAGCAGTTTGTGTGTGTGTATGAGAAAACAAAAAAGAGGAAAAAATATAGAAGGAAAAGAAAATGGGTAAAACAAATTGTGTTAACTCAAAACTGCAATGCAGCTATCTATTTTTCAGTTACTTTGTGCAATGCTTTGAAGCACAAATACTAGGCAAAGAAGGCTTGGCAGTTCTGCATCACATCACATAAGTAAATAAGGTTGTTGTTTAATTAGGACATGAATTTGTCAACTTTAACAACAACTATTACCCTTCAGAGATATATTTTATACTATACAGAAGCAAGAGGAAAACTACCTTCAATATTGTTTTCTACACTTTACATACGATCTTTGGCCCAGCCTTCTTCATGTATAGGAATGAAATAAGGAACTGATCTCCTGTCATGTGAGAAAGTAAAAGACAAAACTTTGTTCTTTCCAATAACTTGCTTGTAGATTTTAGTTATTCAGAGATTAATTGCTTTGTTGAACAAGTGGGACTTACAGTTATTTCAGTTAATAGCCCTTGGCTAGATTATTAACATTTTTTTCTTTAATTTTGGCCAGACTCTCATCTAATCCCAGGATATCATAGAATCATAGAATATCCTGAGTTGGAAGGGACCCTTAAGGATCATCAAGTCCAACTCTTGACACCGCACAGGTCTACCCAAAAGTTCAGACCATGTGACTAAGTGCACAGTCCAATCTCTTCTTAAATTCCGACAGGCTCGGTGCAGTGACCACTTCCCTGGGGAGCCTGTTCCAGTGTGCAACCACTCTCTCTGTGAAGAACCCCCTCCTGATGTCAAGCCTAAACTTCCCCTGCCTCAGCTTAACCCCGTTCCCACGGGTCCTGTCACTGGTGTTAATGGAGAAAAGGTCCCCTGCCTCTCGACACCCCCTTAACAAGGAAGTTGTAGACTGCGATGAGGTCTCCCCTCAGCCTCCTCTTCTCCAGGCTGAACAGGCCCAGTGCCCTCAGCCATTCCTCGTACGTCTTCCCCTCCAGGCCTTTCACCATCTTCGTAGCCCTCCTCTGGACACTCTCCAACAGTTTCATGTCCTTTTTATACTGTGGTGCCCAGAACTGCACACAGTACTCAAGGTGGGGCCGCACCAGCGCAGAGTAGAGCAGGACAATCACCTCCCTCGACCTACTAGCGATGCCGTGCTTGATGCACCCCAGGACACGGTTGGCCCTCCTGGCTGCCAGGGCACACTGCTGGCTCATATTCAGCTTGCTGTCTACCACGACCCCCAGATCCCTCTCTTCTAGGCCACTCTCCAGCGTCTCATCGTCCAGTCTGTACATGCAGCCGGGGTTTCCCCGTCCCAGGTGCAGGACCCGGCACTTGCTCTTATTGAACTTCATGCGGTTGGTGATCGCCCATCTCTCCAACCTATCCAGATCCCTCTGCAAGGCCTTTCCACCCTCAACAGAGTCCACAACTCCTCCAAGTTTGGTGTCAAAAATATGAGGGAAAGTTATTTATCCCCTTGTTTTCCTCCACCTAATTTAGCTATGTTCTTCTGCAGCTTGTCCACCTAAATTTGGCTTTCTTCCTTATGTCTTCTCTACCGCATTTCAGCTGCATCCAGCTCCTATCCCTGCTCTGTGCATTTCTTTAATACTGAACTTTATAAAAGTCTTGGATATAGTTTGAAAAATTAGCATGGTGTTTCCCTCACCAAAGGTGTCTAGATGTCTTTCTGTCTCCCCATGCCAATTCCATACCATTTCATCATTAAAAGCCACACATTTATATAAAACATTATTGCAAAGAAAATAATATAAAATGTTAGTAGCATAAAGAAGATACTTTATATAAAAACTGTCTTTCCTCTGGATGTATTTCTTTGTAATAACAAACTGTGCTGATTGTCATAAACAGTGCATTTTACAATTAGCAGGAGGAGTAAGCAGCAAAGAAGCACACCATCCTCATTTTTAACACATTTGCTTGTAATCGAAAGTAAAACAGAGGCTTCTCAGCATGCTGAAGACTTAATTTTAATAACTGATGTTTACTTAATGGTTGTAACTGCAGCTTCCAAAGAGATTGGCAGTTTATAATATACTAGTGTTCCCAGCTGTTATCATTCAAATAAGAAGGAAGACTAAGAAATTAACACAGAGAAAACTACTTAGCCACATGGTAACATATAGGATATAAACTTGACTGCAAAAGAGAAAATTAGTGTATAGATATAAACATTTTCCCCTGTACAAAATACATTTGTAGTTATAGCTGGTCTTCACAATAAAAATTTTTCGAAGTAAATAGATCCACTTGATAATATTTGTACCAATTTGTAATGTATGTTTATTGTACTTTTTTTTTTCTTGTTTTTTTTTAAATCTGAGCAGAATTGATTGATTGGTAGTTATTAGCCTCATTTTGTCAAAGCCAAAATTGACATGATTCTATTCAGATTTTCACAGAAATTACAGTACCAAATGGTATCATCAAATATAATGTTCTGTAGAAGAATTACATTGTGTTTATTATAGTTATTTAGAGGGTTGAAAAAAATTATATGAAGATCTTATTCAGGAAGGCATTCATCAGACTACTGCCTTTCATGCCCAGTTTGGCTTTTAAGCTTTTTGCTTGCACCATGTGTATGTTGCTGTTCCTCCAGCCACCTCTAAGTATTTTAAAAGGAAAAGCAAATTTTGGTTATCTATTAGTTAAATCTTACAACATGATAAAAATGATTCATTTTGTCTTACACTGCAGGTCAGCTGCAAAATCAGGAACAGAACGAGGGACACATGGCTGCCAATCAGTAGTATTTTTATCAAACACTCCTGTATGCCATACACAGTGTTATGGTATTCTTTGCAGCACTCAATATTTAAAATTGAATGCTGTTTGTTTGTTGTTTTTAATATAGTTATGGTTATGTGAGTCTCAGTAAAACTGTGGAGTATGCAGACATAACTGAAATAATGCTCTGCTGTATCGACCCGAGTGAGTACTGAGAACGCACAGCGTCAATCTAGAGGTATTAATTCAGATACATCTCAGCAATGGTGATGTTTGAAGATCTCAGAGAGGGAAGGCTCTGTACCAGCCACCAAGACAAACAAGTCTCATCTATCCTAGGTGAAGGCAGGGCATTGCTTTTCAAGGCATTTGATGTGTTTCACTCTTTCTTCTGCAGAGTGTGGGTATTCCTGGCCTGAGAATCTCAAGAAATCAGCTCCTTCTGGCTTCCTGGTGGGTGCACCCAAGGGTCCATAAACCTCTGCTCTAAATCACTGTGTTCATGGTTATCCTGATGTAATTAATGTGAAATTCAGCTCCAGATATCCCAAATCTCTATGTGACATAAATAATAATAATAATAATAATCACTGCTTAGAATCAAGGAGGCATACCAGATTTCCATGTTAATGGCTGAAGGTGACCCCTCCAAGGAGCATGCCAAGGGTGAGAGAGGGGCAGCTGTTTCTGACCCCCCAAGCATAGGTATTTTCTCCCTGCTGCAACCCGGAGATTTCCTTGGAAATACCTGGAGGCATTCATTAGCAAGTTTTTTTCTGAAATGGATCTAGTAGAGGTACTTTCTGCCTCTGTTATGTTGAAATTGTGCTCTGATGAACAATGGAAATCAAAGAGTGCTACAAAGCGAAAGGATTGGAATGTGGATGAGCATAGCCCAGTAAGTGTTGGGGAATGACTGACACCTACATTTCTATTCCTTCTTTCAAGACTGTCTCTCTCTCTCTCTCTTTTTTTTTTTTTCTTTCTGCATTTTTCAGTTAAATTGCTGTATGCTATAGCCTATAGGTGGTGGTGAAGTAAATATGAAAAAAAATCTCATTATTCATTATGAATTGTCCACACTTCTAATAGTATGGGTATACGGATGCAGGGAGAGTAATTTTCATTAATGCTTATAAACCAACTTTGTTGTTAGGTTCTCATAACAACATAAATAATGAACAATAATGAACAAAATTTGTTTTGGTTTAGACATTTCATTGGAGCTATAACCATGAAATGAAAATATAGTTTTATACAGTCTCATTAGTTTTTTTGTGTGTTTTTTTTTTTCTTTTCCATAAAACAAAATATAAGCAATGGGCTTTTCTGTTCCAAAGCAATCATATTTTTCAGTATTTCATTTTCTGCAGTTCTCTCAAAGTGTTCCTGATAATATAGTTAATCTAGGTGTTTTCATTCTAGTGATATATTATATGTTAAGTTAACCTTAAATATTACTAGGTATATTTTCATAGTTCTACCTCAGCACAATTTCTCTTAACGCTTTCTAATTTAAAGCTTTCTTTACAGTAATAAATTCTAACATTTGCCTTCTGGCATCATTTTCTACAAAAACAGTATTTTCTATTTACAAATAAGTCTTTATTTTATCTTCGCAGCTAATGATTTATTTTTTCCAGTGGAAAAGCTTTAGTGTATGCTCATTCAATTTTTGAATTAACAGTAAACAGGTGTTTTCTTCTGCTATATCATAAAAAGTAATATATATTCTTTTCGATTTTCAACTTCTGAGACAATGTTCTTCATATGTGTGACAAAGAAAGGAATATAGTAAAATTTTGCTTTTAATTGGTAAATATTGGTCTATGCCTTGTAATGAAATGTATCTGCCTCATGTGGTTCTGCTGAAGGAGATTAACTCACCATTCAGCTGGGACTAATTACAAGCTGCAGCAGCTGGAGAGAGAAAGATCAGGAGGCCAGATGGCTTGGAGAAGTGTAGGGGATTTTCTTTCAATAACAGGTTTTGAAGGACTTCCCCAGTTATCTGGGAAAAAATATCACAGGATGTCATAAAGAAAAACTCCTTGGAAGAAAGATCTTGTGAACAAGGTAGAAAATGTTTTTAGTGGGTTTGTTCTGCTTTTTATATTGGGAGTGATTAAGTTCAAGCACACCTACCAACTAGCTTTGGAAGGTTTTGGGGTGGGAGGGCGCCTGAAAGTTGCAGAGGCTTCTGGTCTCTCCTCACCATGTGTTTTGCTGTTGGGGAGAAGGAGGCTAATAGGAAATCTTTATCTGGGCCTTATGTAATTGATGGTGTGCAGAGAATTTATGTACTGTTTTCTATTCTGGATGTGAAAGAGTGTTGATTAGTGAAGGTTGAATTCAGATGGTTATTAGTGTGTGAATCCTTTATAGATGTCCACAGCAAAACTGTTATGTTCATTAAAATTAGATTGCTAGTTTGGTGATTGCATCTTTGTATTTAACTGGTTCATTCTCTTCCGTATTTCTTCTCTGCTTCATTTTGGCTTATTCAAGCTTGTGTTTCAGTTATTGTTATTAATTTTGTTGGTATATTGTTTGTTCTTGAGTGAGTCTAAGAGCTGAATGTATCTTCACAGAGATTTCATCAAAACAATATTTTGTAAATGGCAGGCTGTGCTGAAGGTAAGCTTCACTGGCTTGGACAGTTCCAACTTCGAAACACTGGATTTACATATCCCAGCTCCCTAAAATGGATCTTTTATTTATTTTTTAGTCATACTAAATGCATGTGTGAACAGATAAACGAGTGTGAACGGATAAGACTAACTGGAAATTATTTTAGGAATTTGTTGACATCTCCTACTCATTAGACAAGCAGCCTGTCTCTTAGGATATCCATTCTTCTTAACAATGCCTATAATTTGAAAATCATAATTAATTGTGAATCCATGTTTTTCCATGTGTGTCTGACATACCAGGCAATATGGCAAAGGGACTTCAGAATTGCAGGGGTAGACAGAATTTTACTGAAAAGGTTGAAAATAAATTGGAATATTACTAAATGGGCTTCTCTTTATTCTTATGGGACTAGCAAGTGGGTTTGTGTGTTTTCTTTCAGATAACTGGTGTTGCACAAACATTCATGCGGTGTTTAATCAAGTTTTTAGGTTTGAGAGGATTATGCATTTAGTTTTGCATAGTCAGTAAGGTTAGGTCTAGTGGCAGAAGTGGAAAGATACATATGTTTATCTGTACAGTCATTTAGCCAATGATCAATAAATGTCTGACGATAAATCAATACGGATGTAATCTCCAATCTGTGGGCTTCGAAGAACAATCTCCTGAGCGTTCTTACTACAAAATCTATATTCACTCCTGTCTTCATTCAAGCTGATTTATGCTCTGATGCTGTTTGCTTTCAAGGACCTCCATTTCTCTAAGTGCTGCCTAGTAGGTAAGCAACAATCCATCAGAGCGCTACTAATATCACAGAGGCTTATATTTAATTACAGATAACAGGTCCAGTGGGACTTGGAACAAAATAACCAATCACTAAGATTTGATATACTAAAATATAAAAAGCGAGGGAAGCCATAAAGCACAAAGGAACTGTGTGAAATAAATAGGTATTCTGTTGTTATGCTCAAAACATGCAGAATGTGAGAATAAGTCATATGATAAAGTGTATTTTCAGTTTTTTTTGTTGTTTTTTTTTTTTCTTCACATAATTAAATCCAGTTGGTAAAGAAAAGAATAAATTTATTGAATAACCAACCAAATACTCCTGTGAGTAGTCAGCATGTATTTGATGTCTTAATTAAATGTATGTGGAGAGTATTTATGGGTTAGTTCTGTTTTTAAATATAAATAGGCATTTTTATTTTGCTGTAATATCAAAAAAAATGTAGGGGAGTTTTAGGTTGGATCTTAGGAAGAACTTCTTTACCGAAAGGGTTGTTAGACATTGGAACGGGCTGCCCAGGGAAGTGGTGGCGTCACCATCCCTGAAGTCTTCAAAAGACATTTAGATGTAGAGCTTAGGGATATGGTTTAGTGGGGACTGTTAGTGTTAGGTCAGAGGTTGGACTCGATGATCTTGAGGACTCTTCCAACCTAGAAATTCTGTGATTCTGTGCTTGTATGAGATACGTATTTTTGGCATCCCTTCTTCCTGTACATTAAAAGTGATGTAGTTACTACATATCAGAAATAGCACAACTTAGTTCCTAAATATTCCTTAAATTTGCTCATATTTGCATATTTAAGAGCTAGATTTTTCAAGCAGACTTGTGAAAACTGACCCTGCTGTTACAGCCGATATCTTTAAACTGATAAACATAGAGTCAGTATGGGCTGACATTTAGGGAGAGTGGTACGCAATAAATATGAGCAACTCAAATGCTGCTCTAAATGTAGTTCTGATATAGTAAAACCAAACATTATGGATAGCCTGACTTTGTTAGGAAGCTAATTTAGCAGAAATACAGCTTAATGATATCAGTCCTACTTGAAAATTCATTTTATCTGAGCCCAGTATTAATCCATTAATTCTTCTAAGCTGATGAAAGTAATTTTAAAAAGAGGAGGCCTGTTTTCTGCAATAAACTCCTGACTAGTTTAGTCCTGTATCCTTGCATGATGGACCTAAACCAACAACAAAGTTAAGCCAGAACAGATACAAATAAAAGGTGATTGAAATAATCATCTACAGCTGTCATAGCTGAAGCTTTTGAAATGATGTATGGAAGAAATCTTCATTAGTTAGATGGAGATAAAAGGGCCAACTGATGGAAGAGTAGGAAATAAAACGAAAGAGAAGGCAGAAACATTGCAGCCAAAATCAAACAAAATAAAAATGCCAATGAAGATGTTTAAAGCATGTGATGTGGTAACTATTATTTTGGCTAAAATATGCCTCTTTTAGCAGCTGGTTAAAAGCTGGATCATTGCTAATCACTGTCAGCTGCTGGGCTAGCTTTTAGTGAAGAAATCTGAGATACTGACCTTTGGCTTCTGAAAGACAACCTCAAGATGAGACTCTTGGAAGATACTTTATCTGTAAAAAATGAATCTGCACGCTTGTATAAAGGGATTATTGTTAAAGTGTCTGTGAAATATCAGTGAAAGCACTAATCTCTAAGGAAAGACAGTTCTGTGAATTTACTGGTCACTGGATCTGTACTGTTAAGGCTTTTTTTGATTGTTTTATTTAGGAAGGTAACCCCACATTTGGAGTGCTCTGAGGACTTTCAGGTGTCTTTCACAGGTGTGAGCTTGCAAGTGTAGTTATATACCCACTCAAAAATCTGCCTGAAACTTCAGCATGTAAATAATAGCTTACTGTTTGTTTATTTTAAGATTTTTTTATTAAGATTTTTGAGCTTGTGAAATAAGGAAGTTCATGAACATGCACTCAGTAATGTGTGGATGTGTAAACAAAGGCTAATCTGAATGGGTTGTGCAAATTGGGTTAAGATTAAGAGGGAAGAGTAAAGGTT